ATAAGAAGTAGGGGAGTGTACGTCCTGCCGCCTAATATCTTCCCGTGATGACGAGTTACTAATACTCTGTGAGATGAGAGAGATTTTAGTATTAACTTTTTGTGCACGCTCCTTAGCGATCGCATTTCGCTAAAACGCGCATAAATTGAAAACAAAAAACTAGTTGGAGTTAATTCTTCATTGTTTTGGGTTAAAAACTAAAAGTTTGTTTGTTTGTTTGTTTAAAAAAAAAAACGCGTTTACTTTTACTTTGACCCCATCTTTCTCTTAAAATGACATAATCCAGTAACAATTTTTAAAAAGAAGAGCAGCGATGAATCATTTTTCGCCGTCAGCTCAAGTATGAAGTATGAATGCCTTCGTTTAATTCTCGATTGTTAGTCCCATTCTTATTTTTTATATCCTTTATTATATATTCCTCCAGGCTTGTTTGTCGGTGTGCAATAGCCGCATCCAATAAAGGCTATGTTTACTTTGGAATTCAGTTCTATGGTGAATGTTGGAGTAGTGCAGATGCTGAGTCTCGCTTTCATATGTACGGAGCTACCAATAACTGCGTCAACACAGACTATAATCCCTGTGATGATCAGGCAAGCAACGAGGCGTGTGCAGGGGCCAACCATTCCAACTATGTATATGAGATTATAAAGGGTATGTTCCTTATAGTGGCTCAAGCCAGTATTTCTGCAGGCACACCCTCCTTTACCTGAGTGTTGTGCAAAGTTGCGCAAAAAATCTTCTGGAGGAATTTCGAGATAGCTCGTAATTTCAACCTGTAGGCTGTGATTTATCCTTTGACTGAAGTCTTGACATTACGCTAGTCAAATTTGCTACTTCTGGATGTTGCCGAAAATTCATTCGTATGACTGGAAGGTAGGTGGTTTTGGGCGATTTCAAAAAACATGAAAGTATATGCATCAGGGTAAAACACAGTACTGAGCTCTTTTTGCGAATTTTACGCATAAGAGATCCAAAGATTACCCTGGGTGCCAGAGGCTTTTCATGCGCGGTTTCCGGTTTCGGTGAAGTGTGAGACGTGTCGAGACGTGTCGGCCTACGGCCGACGAAGCTCCTCGTCACATGCGAGAAAAAAACCGCTGGTACCCAGGGTATTCAAAGATGGAAGGTATGCTTACAAAATTACTGGGTGGAGCCACGTTAAGTATGCGACAGTTATTTCGTGAGGGAGTTGTGCTTAATTAGTAGTAGAACTATGCTAAAATGTTTAAAGTTCAGGCTATTGCCATTTCTGTATGGCTTATTTGATATCTAAACGATATTAAGGTTATTATATATATCTATCCAGATTTTTGAAAACGTTACCGCCAAATAGACCTCTTCCGTCAAGCAGTTATTTTCGGCCAAAATAGCCAATATAGAAACTATCAGTGCAACCATTCTTTCTCGTTCTTTTTTTTTTCTCCTTTCCTTTCCCTTTAAAGAGGTTTTTGGGTGCAAAAAAACCTGCCTTATGCCCAATTTTCACTCAAATGGCTAAAAATTTCACTAGACTGGTTTTCAAAAATTGACTAGATATTAATTGGTTTCGTTTGCTTTTAATTTGAAGATTTTCCAGATGGAAGCGCTACAGGACCGCCTATAGAACCGCAGGAGTACTAATGGAGTTTAAATGAGAACTTCAAGAGCAATCATCGTTAACATTCATCGATCGGGGTTTTTAATAAAATTAATCAACAACGCATTAGATTCTGTAGCGACGGACTGAAATCATTGTATTAAATTTACAGCTGTTGGACCGTTTTTAAACTACATATTCATTAAATTCCCGAGATTTCGGGAAAACCTGCAAGTCGCTTAAATTGTTGTTGTTGTTGTTTTGTTTTGATATCTTGTAAAGGCCAGGGGCACCAAGCGACCTTTTTCTGTAAAATGAGCTATTGCCTTGGATTTTCTAAAGCCCGAGAAGGCTAAAGATTTCTGGATAACCCTAACGAGAATAAATTTCAAATCAAATATACCTCTATGAAGGTTTTTAGAGTATTTCTTACCCTAACCCTAACCCTCACCCTAACCAGTCTTAGTTAAAAATTAAATATCAACCTTACGCAGTCGTCAGTGACGCACAGGTATGGTAAGAATTCTTTTTCAAGACTATTACTGGGATGGAACTTGATTTATGATTTTCTCTCTTTGTTTTAAAATCAGTTAAGTATAGAATTTTTTGGTTTGAAGTAGTTAGAGGGACGCTTCGCTTTTAGCCTTGGCTGTGGCTTTATATTATAAATGAAATACTTCTGAAAATGGCAACGTCTTTAACGATTACCATGCCGCACGGAAAAATGGCTGAGGAAGGTTTTAAAAGAAGTGGAATAAACTTAAAAACTTCAGCACGACACTTTCAAGTCTGAAAAAAAATAGCTCTAAGACCATTTGAACTGATTTGATTTGGCTTAGCAGAAAGGCCAAATAAATTTGTGAACTGGCTAAGTTACCTATCTGATGATTTCATCATTATTTCTGTTAGGCAACTTTTAATCGTGGCAGTTATAAAAAAGTATAACTGCCTTGCCGCCAAAAAAACGCTTCTACGAAAAACTGAGTTGAGCCCTCTCCAAATGTTTCCACCTATTGTAAACATGCAATCACCTTCCCAAAACACCAGCTGTCGCAGTTTTATAGCAGTTTTAATTTATATTTATATACAGTTTTATATAAAGTTTTAGCCAATAGGAACCTCGCCTAAAAGACCACCTTTCCCAAAAGAAGGTTACCCTTTTTTGTGTATGGCGGTTGTTTAATGATCTATTGTTTTCAGCCTCTTAAGGCTGGTTTTCATTAGCGACGGAGCTGGAGACGGAATCGTAAGTGGAGTCGTAAGAACGCTTATATATGACCTTGTGAAAATCAAAAAGCGGAGTCGTAAGCGGGAGTCATAAGCGCGACGGAATCGGGGTAGGAAGAATCAGAACGTTTTCATTTTCTTCTGACTCCGCTGATGACTCCGTCGTTTACGATCTAGTGAAAACCAGATTGTCGGAGTCGGAAGCAGAGGCAGAAGAATAAACCAATCCCGATGCACGTTCCCACGCTTTGTGTGATTGGTTTAGTTCTTCCGCTTCTGCTTACGACTCCGACGACCCAGTTTTCACTTGATCGCAAACGACGGAGTCGCTGTTTTCACTAGATCGTAAAGTTCTACGCTTCTGATTACGACTCCGACTCTGACTTCGTCTCTAGGCATGAAAACCAGCCTGTATGGGCGAACGCTTGATACCTGATCTGAACTCTGTATTCACAGTGCGTACTACGCGACGCCGAATCACAAAAAAGAGAAGCTTATTTTAGTGAAAACATGGCGCTGGTTGAAATCGCAACTCGGAAAATATTATATGACGTTTATTTTAGCACAATCGGTAGAGCGCTTGCCTGTAGGCGGGAGGTCGCAGGTTCTATTTCTAGGTCTTAAAATAGCTGAGAAATGAAAGTACTTTCTTTGCCCTGCAAGCGGTTAGACCTTCGCGTGGCTGAGATACTGACCACATAAAATGGCGGTCCCGGTTCAAGTTGGGGACGTAAAATTAGTGTCCTCAAATATTACTTTGGTGCTAAATACATTGACAGTCAAATAAAATGTTTCAAAAAAGATATATGAAAACACAAAGCTATTCCCGATAGATACTTGCTGCGGTTCCGACTCGGAGCTACTACCGTACGCGTTCTTTTAAAAGTGACCGCTGGGTCGTGGCATTTTGGGTGGCCACACGCGTGGTTCGACTGTATGTGGTACCTTTTACCAAACAACAGAAATGAGCAACCAGCTAAGGTGGTTAACTCAGACATATAATGCCTACTTTATGATGGTTGTACATGTAGCTGAATTTACTTGTTAAAAATGGGGGAAAATACATTATTAGGGACTTTTAATTAATCGGACTAAAAAACTACTTAAAAATTCAATAATCATATGATAGCTAGGGTTCTTCTATCTAAAATTTCAATGGTTTAGAAGCACGAAAATCTATTGGTTCGTTTCTCTGTTTGTTCATACTCAGCCCAAGCTGATTAACATGAAAATGGCTCTGGTTCGCATATCAGTTCCACTAGGAAACACGGAATCTTAAACACGCTTCAGTCAATTTTGTAGAAGGGACAAAAATGTAGCTAACAAGTTTTTATTCTTTTGGCATGGAGGAAATGAGTTAGTCCTGCTATGAATCTTTCTTATGGAACGATTGAAACCCTTGTTTTAGTTAAAGCGCCCCAAGTAAACAAATTTGTTTGAGTTTGCGAAGTATTAAGTACACTTCATTAAAACCCAAGTTGAATGGCAAATGAGTACGGGGGTGGAAAATTCCTGCATAACGAAGCAATATCTTGCAGGGTTCTTAACACCATTCCAGCCTAACGCGAAGATTGGGGAGACCACATAGAGCTCGACCTCAGTTATCTCTTCCCTCGTGGATAGTCTCGGGATTCAAAATCTGGTAAGTTAACTCATTGATTTTATCATTTACAAAGCTAATTCTCAGAACACTTTTTTTGGGCTAAGAAACTTCGACGTAGGAAGGCTGCAGATCCTAACCTTTGCCCCAGATGCAATTCCACTTTACATTCTTTGAGCTCTAAGTTACACCGCCCCATTCAAATGCTGAGATTTATTCTTTCTTGATTTCGTGAAAGCTAGTGAGAGGGGAACTAACTACAACCTAAAATTCTGCGCTATTCTTAATCTCCCTCGAGAATAAAATATATATTTCGCCACTATAAGTTATTTTTTTTCTTCTAGCCCAGTTTCACTTAAATAAATACAAGGTCCCCCTAAATAAATTTTAAGAAGTCGAACCTGAGCTTCGATGTTTTTATAAAATTAATTGAGTAACCTAAGGCAACAAAAGGCAAGCCCGCCTCAAGAAACATCCTGCCCGGTAAAAAAGATAGAAACGAAATGTTGTGAGTAAAAACTATTGTTTAAGGCCTCGGACAGCCCTCTTTATAGTTCTTTATACCATGTAATTATGAATTGAAAATTGAGCAAAGCG